ACTGTTTGTCGGGGGTGATAAATTTGAAATTAACCTCAGCTCATATAGAGCGAATGTGTGTCGGATTTATCACTTAGATTCATCCTCAAATAGTTTCTTGGCAGTAAGGACGTGGCACGTGCCCTCTGATCGTGTGGTTTTGCCGCAAAATGACATCATTATATTATGATCACGGCCAAAACCCGTATGTTCCCTAACGACATCAAACCCTTGAGTGATGAATCATAGGGTATATTTGATGGGCATAAAACCCTCTGTCAGCTAAAGTGGATTCAAATACATCCCCGTAGACAAATACCAAACCAGGTCTATAAGGTATTCTTAGACTATGCAACCCATGGCTGCCAACAAGGTGCCTTATGTCAAGTTGGATTGATTAACTCCTCTAACTAAGTAGACCAAGGAGTATGATTGATGCGGACATCCAACCGTCCATGGCTATCCGAGGAGCTGAAGATCAACGGCTGTCATCGTCCCACATTATCTTATATTTTATTTATAATTTTTAAATTTTTTATTATGAATTTTTCGTTTTTACCCTCACTTAAGATGGTCGTCCTATGTAAGCCTTAGAGGCATATGTGTCTTGTTTTAGTTTCTTAGGCCTATATATAGAGGCCTTTCTTATGTAATGGAATGATGAATGGTTAATGAAAATTTGCCTTTTGTGTTCTCTTTGTGAGTTCCATCTTTTAGATCTCTTAGTGAGTTCTTTTTCTTTTGAGATCTCTTAGTGAGTTCTCTATTTTGTGTTCTCTTTGTGAGTGCATGTCTCTCTCAAATCTCTTAGTGAGTTTTGAGAAGAGCTAGATCTCTTTGTGAGTTCTAGACCTTCTTCTCCATTATCTTTGTGATTAATTGGTGTGGGAAATCAAGGTTAATCCGTGGCATAGTAATCCCTAGTAGAATTGCCCTTTTCCTCCCTCCTTGGATCCTTGCCGCCACCCCTTTCCCCTAGCCAACCGCCGGCCAGCCTCCCGCCGACCAACCCAGCACCACATCCCGCCGGCCAGAAAACCGCCCAGCGGCCCACCGTCCACCGTGGATGTAACACCCCACAGTACCCCTTAACAGTAAGGGAGAGTGTAACAAGAATAAATATAACAATTCTATTTCCTTAACACTCCTTTATGTTCATCATTCCAGATTTAAATAAAAATCATATAAACATCATTTAGTACAACAAAGGAAGCATCTAAAAATTCCCAAATTTCATCAAAGACTTAGTACAGAGCCACTACGAATTCCAAACCATTTCAAAGTAATACAACCTTTAAACTGCAAACTAACCTCAAGAGTAGATCTCAAACATAAAATAAACATTAACATAATTGTAAATACTTGCAAACTAGTCTTCTCCCTCTTTTTGTTTTCCTTTACCTGTAACAACATCTAGCAATAAAATACTGGTGAGCTATAAGGCCCCATAAGTTATGCAACTAGAAATTACATTTAAAATTGCATGAGAATTTAAATAAGATCTACTTTGACATTAACCTTTATTTATTTATTTATTTTTATTATTATTATTTTTATACTGAATATCCATTTGAGTCATTATAAATTTTGGCTAATCATTCATAACATATTCAATGGAGCCCAGGTAAACCTGGCATTATCGCCATTGAATCACATAGAAGTCCCTTTTGCCTATTTGGGGTCCCTTTTGCCCCACCTGCTAAATGCAGTTTCCATTTCTTTGGGGTCCTTTTTGCCCCACTTACCAAACAGTTTAATATATGGAAACCCTTTTGTCCCATCTGCATTGGTAAGTCATACATAAATCTTTAGCCAAACTTTACCTTTAAATGAATATTCAGTACTTATCACTTATTCATACTTCATACTGAACTGGTCATGACCAAGTTATATAAGAATGCATCTCGTATCATTTGCATGCAATAATGTGTAGGCAACATGACATTAATTGGGCCCTTTTTTAATTTATAAACAACTAGAAAACATTACAAGAATTAACATAAATCTTATGTTACATTTCAATGATACATGAAATCATGGAATCTAATCACTTGCATTTTTATATATTCATATTGCATTCATCAACTCAATTAAGTCAAGAGATAGTATAAATTTATCTAGGAATATTACCTCTTACATTTATAAGTTAGGATTTACATAACTTACCTTCTTGACGAGTGGTCTCTTCCAAACCTACACATCGTAACTTTCTCCTTTGATAAATAAATTCAGATTCTACTCTCTGCATTATATGTCTGATACATCAAGATATAAGAATTATAATACATTACTATAAACTTTACTGATTTTATATTCTAGAAAAGATAATGAATCACTATCATTACCTTTCTTTTCAGATTCCTTTTCTCCAACTGTATCTCAATTCTTCTTTTAGATCCTTCTTCCAAACCCTTTGAAACCCTATTGTTCTCTGTTTTATAAAATAGATTGCACACTTATCACATTAATCATATTTAAATCTTATCAAATCTTTCTACAATTAGTTAAGTTTACATACCTAAATGTATCTTCTCCACAAACACTTCCCTACACAACCAAAAATCTGAATATACTGCTTCTACCAAAATCTCTCCCAAGTAAAAATGCTGAATTCCTTTCTTCCAGCAACCGAACCTTCACTTCAACATTGTGCTGAATGCCTCCTTTTTAGCTCTTGTAATACTGAAGGAAATCTGCCTTAGCCAACTCCTTCCAGCCGCACACCTTCCTTGGCAACAAGTTCAATTTCTTTTTCCTGTACTAGCCACCCAAGTCCACTATTTCTCTGCTGAATTCAAAAATCGATGTGCTGTCTATGGTTTCCTCCACAGTCCCGAGAGATTCTTGACATAATTCCCTTAGTGAAGCATTACCGAATGCTAATACAGTGTCTTTTGGATACTATGCCAAATTGCTCTACAGTCAATAGTGCCGACACTATCAACAGTGATTTCTGGACACTGTGCCGACGGGATGGATAGAAAATTCTAGATTTTCTTGCGGAACTTCTCTGCACCGAATTCTTTCTCTAGCCAATTCCATAGGATAAAAACGATTAAGCATATAAGATAAATGGAAAGTGGGTCCCATCTCCTAACCGCTCACACCAAAAGCCTCTAATGAATACATCCCTTCCTCTAAAAAGAAAATGATTTTAATAATTAATTTAACTAACTTATACATATCTATTAATACTAATTTAATTAAAAACTAATTAAGTATAATTTATCTGAATATTACCGGTTCTCACAAAGTCTACAACGTCAAAACATCTTGAATAGAAGCAATTTGATAACAGAGTTGATGTTGGATCTTACTACGGGAGTGAGCACAGCCTTAGGGATTTGTCTTCTTCGATGAAACTCATTTCATCTAGGGGTGCTAGAGGGCCTATGGATTATTATATGGTTGACACATCAGAGGATAGGCCCTAGAAGATCGCCCCAGAAAATGCAATGGAGGCACGGAGAAGAGCGTGTAAGGATATAGACAGATTATTCTACGAAAATGCAATTTGATTTAATGTTGCAACATCACCTCTTATTACAACAAGATTCGTTCAGTTGGAGCATTTGGGAGAGGGTTCAAACCTCCAACCATGTATGATTTAAGAACATGAATTTTGAAGGAGTTGGAAAGCACTGATAAAAATATCAAAGAAATTAAGAAGACTTTGGCCCAAACAGGAGTAACAATTATGTCATATGGGTGGTCTGATATCAAACATAGAAGCCTGATCAACATCCTCATTAATAATCCTTATGGTACTGTGTTTTTAAGGTCAATTGAAGCATCTGACCAGGTCAAAGATGCTGAGTTCATATTTGAATTATTAGATAACATTATTGATGAGGTTGGAGAACATTTGGTTGTACAAGTTGTGACAGATAATGCAAGTTCTTATAAGGCTACAGGTAAAAAATTTATGGAGAAGAGGAAACATCTGTATTGGACTCCATATGCTGTACATTGCATAGATCTGATTCTTGAGAAACTTGGGGAGCTACCTCAACATAAAAATGCACTTTCTAAAGCCAAAAAAATAACCAAGTTTATTTACAACCACTCTTGGGTTCTAGCTCTTATGAGGAAATTTTCGAATAAAGAAATTCTAAGGTCAGCAGCAACAAGATTTGTCACCGCTTACTTGACCTTAGAGAGCATGTTGGATGCTAGACAACCTTTAGAGGCTATGTTCACATCTACACAATGGTTGAGTTGTGCTTGGGCGAAGAAGGCTGAGGGAAAAGAGATTATAAAGATTATTTTAAATGACAGATTTTGGCAAAATGTCTTATATGCCATTACAACCATTGGACCTTTAGTTCATATTATAAGTATGGTGGATGTTGAGAAGAAGCCTGCAATGAGTTTCATCTACAATGTCATGGATGAGGCCAAAGATATGATTGCCTCCAACTTAGGAGGCAATGAGGGAAGCATTAGGAAAATTTAGAATATTATTGATGATAGGTGGGAGCTACAGCTTCACCGACACTTGCATGCAGCTGGCTATTACCTAAACCCTCAGTATCAATATGTAGAGAACAAGTCTACAAACCCTGAAATAAAGTTGGGATTGTATCATTGCATAGATCGTCTAATAAGCGATGCAACTGAAAGATCAAATGCTGACATGCAATTGGTACCTTTAGGAACAAAGAAGGCTTTTTTGGATTACAACAAGCAAATGATACAATTGTCAAACGGTCTCCAGGTGATTTTATTTAATGTTTAAACACTTATTTAAAAGTTATTTTTTAGCACTAATTAAACTCTCTTATATAAATGTTAGTTAAGTGGTGGATTCAATTTGGTGATGAGACTTCAGAATTGCAGCATTTTGCTGTGAAAGTTTTGGGCTTGACATACTCTTCATCTGAATGTGAAAGAAATTGGAGTACTTACAACCAAGTACATACAAAGAGGAGAAATCGCTTGTCTACATTGAGGATGAATTCATTGGTATACATATGTACAATAGGAGACTCAAAGATAGGAATTTGAAGAAAAAATGATTAATGGATGATAAAGATCCTTTGCTGTGCGAAGATGTGGCATCTGATGATGAGTGGTTTGTAGATGATAAATGGTTTGTAGATGATAAAGTTGAAGTGATGCCGTCTGAATTACAAGATGATGATTTAAATGTTGATTTCTTTGATGGTCTTAAAGCATCTACATACACCACAACTCAAGAACAAATCAACAAAGTATATGAATAATATAGTTTTCTTTTCTTAGACTTTTATTAATGTATTACACTATTATTCATTATGATATTATTCAAAAATATTTAGGGAAGAGGAAGATAACTGATAATGAGGAAGGAGCTGATTGGGAGACATTGGACTCTATAGGAGAGGAGGAAGAGGAGAGAGTAGTTCATCATAATGATGATTCAAATGAAGACCCCCTTAGTGATGAGTGACGACTGTGCTGATGACTAGTGAGTTCTTATGTGATATGTCATGGTTATTTATTTTCAAAGATGTGGTAAGTAGCATTTTTATGTTTTATATATTATTTACTCATTATTATATATATAATTTATCATTTTATGTTTACGCAATTTTTTGATTTTGAGGCTTACGCCTCAAATCGCCTTGAGGCTTACGCCTCGCCTCACGAACGAAAAAACGCCTCAATACCCGAATACGCAATTTTAAACATTGACCACTTTACCCCATGCTTAAGAAAATATTTTGAAATGAACAAACTTAGGTTAACTTGGTGCTGCTTACTTGAGACAACTAATGGATATGACAAATTACCCTCCTCTATGTGATTGATAACCTTGGCCACAAAACGTAGAGCTGAAAATTCGAGCTTTCTGACAAAGGTGCCATGTAACGCACAACTCCACCATTTGTCATATCAATCTTAGTTAGTCCCATTTAACTGGCCAGGGGAAATCTCTGAGAGGCAAACCCTAATATATCTTCTAAACTGACGTTTCCCTGAATCTAACCTGAAGCTCCTAGAAGAGGATCCAGACAGGATCACTTGAGCTCATAAGCATTTTTCAAGTCTACACTTAAATATTACACTAAATCATAATCTGAGACGATAATGTCATGTAAGCCTCAGACATGGATTGAGAAAGACCTCCATATGTGCAGTCGCAAGAATATATCTGAAAAACAAAGTTACAAATCTCAAGTTAATTAATGTTTCACAAGGATCAATGTGTTGGCATGCTCCACCAGATCTTTCATTTGATCAAATAGAAGTGTTCTTGAAAATCTCACATAATTAATGTTGAGACACATTTTAACAAACAATTAAACACAAAAAAATCATATAAATAATCAAAATTAGCTTAAATAATTTAAAGTTCTTTTGATGCATACCTTGTACTACATCTATAAGCTAATGAACTTCTTAAGAGTAACCAAAATTCTGGAGTGAGAAACTAGAAGGGCGTGACTTAACAGCCGGTAAAAGAATAGGATTATCGTAATACCATGGAAGAAAGCGCATCATAATATCACCATCTCCAGTTGCACCACAGGCACCCACTTCGTCATCAGCATATGCAGAAGATCCTGCAATCGGTCCATCACACCAGAACTCAGATCATAAAGTCCTCGAAAAATGAGGGCGAAATCTTTGGGTAGTGTCTTATCATCTGCCTTCCAAAATTTACCTCGGAACTTAGTTCGTTAAAACTCCCTCGCCGAATAAGAAAAGCGAGTGGAGGCTGAGGCCGAATTTTCGGAGCCCACAACATTTGAGAGTAATCTTCCTTAGTACTTAATAATAAGATACTAACATTATAAAATTTGAGCTTGGTTTCCTCTTAATAAAGCATTCGAGGGTAATTTAAAAATGTCAAATGCCATAAAAGGTTATACATGTACTAAATTATAAGCATGAAATTTAAGGTAAACTTGTAAATATAAACAATAAGTCTATTATAAACAGATCTCTCCCATGCCTAATTCAACATATACAAGAAGTCTAAGATCGTAAACTATGAATTCAAAAGTATCTTCCACTTCAATCGCTTAAAAGGTTTTCGGTAACAGCGGGCAAAGAGGCGGGAATCAAAAAAATTTAAGTTAAACGGGTTTTCGGGTTGACCCGGCAACCCGTCGGGTCAACCCGAACCCGACCCGTTTTTGCAAACGGGTCGGTTTTCCGAACCCGAACCCAACCCGCTTCGGGTTCGGGTCAACCCAAACCCGAAAATTACGGGTCGGGTTCGGATCGGGTTTTCGGGTCGGGTCCAATATTGACAGGTCTATGTGCGGGCGCCCCACTTTAGGCATTTAAAGATGCACCTCTATTATTAAAGTGAATGCCTCAAAACCCCCAAGCGAGGTGTGCACCTCAATGCTATTTTTGTGTGCCTCAGATTGTGCAATCTTGAACTTTGGGCATTCAGGACAATGATATAGGTAACTCACTTTACATTTATCTAACTGCTGTTAAGGAGAATGTACTTTTGTTTCATATGTTTTTTATTTCCTAGATGCAATATTAACTTTTTTTTTAAACTCATATACAGAATATTTTGATGTTTTATAGCTAAAGCTTAAAGGCAAAGCGAATACACTTAAATGGTTGTTGTACCTGCTATACTTATGGCTTATTTGAGATAATTTTTTGCTGCTGTTTTTCAAACCGTAATAACTGGTATTTGGCTTGCATTTTTTTTAGTGTGTTTTGCTGTCTATAATAACTTTACATGATTGAGCTTACCATCCTGTATTCTAATAGTGCAGTTGTATTCCGTACTTTCTCAAACAACTTTTCCTCCCACTTTTACAACTGACCTTGCTGAGGGCTGCAATTACTCTTAAGATACGCTTAAAAATGACTGTTTTATGCATGAAAAATTCTAGTTCAAAATCCATTGTAGTTCTACACTTAACATATTCTTGATGCCATACTTTGTACTTTTAGTTCTTTCTATTTGATTTTATGGTTCCTTAATTTATGTTTTGAAGGATTGCATTTGAGTCGGTTTGCATCTGAGGATCTCATCCATGATTCTGTTTCAACATCTTGCATTGTTAGATATTGATGTTATGAAATTTCTTCAGGTATGGATTTTACGATGAATGCTTGAGAAAATATGGAAACGCAAATGTTTGGAAGTACTTCACAGATCTTTTTGATTATCTGCCACTTACAGCGCTAATTGAGAATCAGGTTTGGTTATGATATCAATCAAAGTTTTCTATCTTTCTTTTATATTGTTTTATATGTACTGGGATTCTGTTTGGTGTAGATTTTCTGCTTACATGGTGGCTTGTCTCCATCCTTGGATACCTTGGACAATATCCGTTCCTTGGATCGAATACAAGAGGTCTGTCTCTTCATAAAATGTCTATATCGAGAGTGAAACTAAAAGTGCCATGCATCTGGGAAGTTTGTTATTCAGTCTGTTCTATTATTTAGCTATGACGATTATACATTTATCATTGAAGCTAAGCATGAATATTGTATGCTTGATGTGAAGGTGAGCATTCACCCGATGAAAACTGGACATGATATAATAAACCAGTATGAAGATGATGCCCAGTGCTTCCGTGCATTGCGAGCGTTTGGAAGAAAGAGGAGAAGCTTGTGCATATTCTTTTATAAATTGCATGTTCAATCTATAGATCTATCTTGAAGTTTATGGGCAGTTGATCTTTCTTTAATAGATTTAAATGAGAATTTAACTTTTAATAGGACACAATGGCAAAAAAGGATTTATGTAGCCGACCCCACGTAGTGGGAGAAAGGCTTGATGTTGTTATTGTTGTTGACATTATAAGGACGTAAATGCTTTGCGTTTTTCTTGAGTTTATGTTTTTTATTTGTTCCTTCTCTTTTGAGAAATCCAATCTATTGTTTTCTCATTTTTATCCAGCCGCTGCAACATCATCCCAGCTATATTCTTGGATACCTTCTCCTATTGTTCCTGGTTAGAGTTGCATTTGGTGTTTAAAATTGATGTAGACAAAGGGGGGGTCAACTCATGTCCAAAATAAATTAATTTTGGCCGTCCTCGAGTTTACGAGCTCAATCAAAATTGAGTTGAAATTTTAGCTCATTTATGAGGTGGTATTTAGTTCACTTATTGAACTAAGGGTTAGCTCATTATTAGCTAATATTTTAGTTCATAGTTATCTTTTATTAAAATGTACTTTTTATTATTTTTATGTCTTTAATTATGTTTGTCCCTTGGAATTCCAAACCGGCATTTGGAATTCTAAGTGTTGTTTCCTATGTGTGGCTCCTTGGCTTCCACAATGGGCTATTGTTTCTTGTACCTTTGCCCCTTGGATTTCCGACCGGCTGCTGGTTTTCCGAGCCTGGGTGTTTTCCCGTGGCTGTGGCGCCTTGGTTCCGTGCGGCCTCCTTGTCTCCCGCGGCTGCTCCTTCGGTTCTTGGGCTTGGGCAGTTTTCCGTGAATGCATGGGGGGATTTCCATGCTTGTGATGTTTAGGTTCTTGAGAAAATTAATGTTGTGTCTCCTTTTGTATTCCCCTTTCATACCTATATATATGAGAGGCTTGTAATGTTTTAAAGTTAGTTGAATGATATGTGATTTTTGGAAATGTAAACCTGCGGGTTTCATGGAAAAGCTTGCGAGCTTTGTCCGTCTTCTTTCTCATCCCCTCCGGAAATCTTGCGAGCTCTTTCCAACCTTTCATCTCAGCTTCTAACCTCTTTCGTCTCTCCGCAAGTGCCACTCCACCTGTATCCCTCTTCTCTAAGTGAAGCAAGTTTAGGGTGTCTTTTAATTGCTGTAGGCCCCCCTATATTTATTGCCCCCACCAATTTGGTATCAGAGCAATTTCTTCACGTTCTAAACCCGCAGGTATAGACGGAGCTTCAAGTTCTCCCTTTTTCATTTTTTAAATGACTAAAAAAAAAACGACTCAAATCAAAGAAAGACTCAATCTAAAAAACTTAGACTCAAAATACTTTTAAGACTCACAAGACTTACAAGACTCACACAACAAGACTCGCAAAAGAATCACAACAACTGTTATGATTCACTAAGATTTTTCTTGACAACTAGACAAACCAAAACCTAGGACTTTCTTACTTGCTCTGATACCAAAATTGGTGTAATCAAAAATTTGGGAAAGGGCCCAAATTTTTTATCACAAAATAAAAACTTCATATATAAAAGAAATACACAAAAATACCCAAAAAAGACACTTCTTAATATTAAAAAATGACTTACAAACTTTGACAAACTTATATAATATATTTGACACTTACAAACTTGACTCTTACAAACGACACAAACAAAAACACCTAAACTTGCTTTCCAAGAGACGAAGGATACAATGGAGTGGATACTTGCAGAGAGAAGAAAGATGTTAGAAGCCGAGAAGAAGGGTGGAAAGAACTCGCAAGTCTTCCCAAGAGATAGAAGAAGAAGAAGTGGAACAAAGCTCGCAAGCTTTTCCATGAAACCCGCAGGTTTACATTTCCAAAAATCACATATCATTCAACTATTTTAAAACATAACAAGCCCTTCATATTTATAGGTATGAAAGGGGATACAAATGGACACTAACAATGAATTCACATAGGAATTCTAAACATCACAAACCATTAAAACCTCATTGCTTTTCACGGAAAAATATCCTAAGCCCAAGAACCGAAGGAGCAGCCGCGGGAGCCAAGGAGGCCTCACGGAACCAAGGCGCCAAAGCCACGGAAAAACCCCCCTAGCTCGGAAAACCAACAGCCACCGTCGGAACCAAGGAGACAATGCACGGAAATCAGCCACCCGTGAAAGCCAAGGAGCCAAGGCATGGGAAAACAAAACAAATATTGGGATTCCAAAAACCATTTTGGAATCGCAAGAGACAACTTTAATTTAAAACAATAAATAAAAAGCTACATAAATACGATAATAAATGAACTAAAATCTAGCTAATAATGAGGTAACTCTTAGTTCAATAAATGAACTAAAAATTAGCTCATAAATGAGCTAAATTCCAGCTCAAATTTTATTGAGCTTGTAAACTCGAGGGAGGCCAAAATTGATTTATTTTGGACATGAGTTGACCCTCCTTTGTCTACATCAAAAATCTAATACAGAAGACCATTAGTTATGGATTGTTTTTTTTTCACAAACAGTAGGCATATTACATTCTTATATGCTATTAGCCTTGAAAAAAATACTTATCTTTCCCGCACCGGTTATTATCCTTATCTGATGGATTTTGTAGTCATCATTGATGTCTTTTTCGGATGTCTGACTTTCTATTGGGTTTGCAGGTCCCACACGAAGGACCTATGTGCGATCTTCTATGGTCTGATCCAGATGATCGATGTGGTTGGGGAATATCTCCTAGGGGAGCCGGTTACACATTTGGTCAGGATATTTCTCAGCTGTTCAATCACACAAATGGCTTGTCGCTTATATCCAGAGCTCACCAGTTGGTCATGGAAGGCTATAACTGGTCTCAGGTAAGCTTGATAAAAATTCACATTTGCTATCACATATCAGTTGGTTGCATTTTAGTAAAATTTGTCAAATGAAGGTAGCAGACGTTTTGATAATGGCGTGCATCATATTTGGGAAGGTCCTGAAGCTCACTAATAATTAGTTATTGAAGATTCTAAATAAGGTAAACAGTGGGTTGCTTCCCACTTAAAATGGAAACATAACTGAAAGCTATTGCTCCACCGAACTAATATTCTTTTTATGATCAACCTTTTCATCTCATTAAATTATATGCTTTCACCTACCCACCTGTCAGAAAGAGTCACAAAATGTTCAATAATTGCAGTAGGCAGAAACACCTTCTTCACTGAAATCCATTTAAAATTTAATAGCATTTCTGTCAAATTTCTGCAGGTGGTGATTGAGGTTGAATCTCCACAATCCACCCAAAACCTTAATTCAACCAGATACTTAAAAAAAATAGCTTTGAACTCATAATTAAAATCTCTACCATGTAATGCAAAGCTTTCAATGTTTTACTTCTGTCATTATTTTATACATTAATCCAAATCATTTTCTACTTTATATGGTTCCAATGTTAGCAAAAGGAACTGAAATGAATTTTTTAGGCAATTCAACCTCTTGATTATGGCTGCAACCCCTTTTTTTTTCTTCACTTCAATTGACCTTCCATGTTTTAATCTGTTCATCATTAATTAACCTTTTTTTCTCCATATTTATGCTGCAGGATCAGAATGTTGTTACAGTATTCAGTGCACCAAATTACTGCTACAGATGTGGTAACATGGCGGCTATACTAGAAATCGGCGAAGACATGTCCCAAAACTTCTTACAATTTGATCCAGCACCAAGGCAAGTTGAACCAGACACTACTAGAAGGACCCCTGATTATTTTTTGTAAAATTGATTGCTTTGTAGATTGATTTTTGTAAAAGAGAAACTTGGTAACTAGTAACTGGAGATCTGTTCTCATTTATCCTTTTGTTTAGTTGCTTTTGCTGCTTGCTTTTGCTTGAATATTTACCATACAGATTTTGCAAAGCTTCTCATGCTGTTTTTCTTTGTTTTATTCTGATGATTGTTGCCTTTGTTGTATGTTTATCAATGGGGTTGAGTTAAATGAGCCAATATATTGATTGTTTAACATTAAAAAAATGTTATATTAATTAGGTTTTTATTGTTTTAGGGTGCTTACAGTATGATTAATACTTAAAATGATGAACATGGTTAATTGTTAATTAAGCTATTAGTTGGGCTATATGCTTGGCGATTTGGCCTTTATCCATGCTTAGAAGTTATTGTTGAGGCGTTTACTTTAAGATAATTATGTTACAATTATTTTTATGGCTATGTAGTTAACTTTTAATTAATATTTAGGTTATTAGAGTTATCATTTAGGGTTAATCTAAAAAAAACTTGATGTCTTGATTAGAAATTATGTACTTAGTTGGTGATTAATTTGTAGGTATGCTCTTCTACTTATCATATTAATGATATTTAATTAATACAACAATAACATCAAGTCTTTATCCCACTACGTGGGGTCGGCTACATGAATCTTTTTTCTTCATAGTGTCCTATTAAAAGTCAAATTCTCGTTTAAATCTAATAAAGAAAGGTCATTCCTAATATTTTTTAACCAAGTCTTTTTAGATCTACCCCTACCTTTCTTAACATAAGTCAAATCTACTCTCCTAATCGGGTCATCGGAAGGCCGCCGTTTTATGTGACCAAATCATCTAAGGCGACTCTCTCTAATCTTATCTTCTACTAGAGCTACTACAACCTTTTCACGTATATGCTCATTTCGTATCCTATCTCTAAGGGTAAAATCACTCATCCACCTGAGCATCCTCATCTCTGCCACACTTAACTTAGTATTATGCTTCTCTTTTAATGGCTAACATTCGGCACCATAAAACATTGCAGGCCTCACTACCATCTTATAGAAATGATATTTAATCAATGTTAAGATTAAATTATTCATATAATAATAATAATCCTTAGTTTTATTCTAATTATTTAGGTTGGAAATTTTTTATTTTCCATTCTTTTTTGTTGTGCACTATCTGTTAAGTATTGTGTGAGATGTTAGATTTATTTATATAAATTATAAATTATGTCATCACAATAATGATACTTAGTTGCCTCTTGCAGTCTTTGTAGCCCCTCATGGAACTTGAGATTATGTATATTTGTTGTAGACATGATTGTAAGTGGCTGAGGTTTTGTTTGGGATGGCTTTCTTACTGCTTCTTAAAATAAGTTTGAAGTACTGAAATTAAATTTTTTGTACTAAAAATTGTTTTAAAAAGCAGTGCAAGGTTGAATCTAAGATTCTTGAGATTATAGTCAGGTTTCATTTGGGACGGTTTTTTTACATGTCCAAAGCTATTTTTTGTTTGAAATGGAATGAGAAGCAGAAGACTTAAAGAGGTATTTTTGTATTAAGTAAGTGTTTTGGGGTCTTCTCAGAATGAAATTGGGAGATTTGATTGTCATAATGTAAAGTATCTCGTCAATCTATGCTATATACAGATTCTATAAGCCACAGTTTCTCTTTATTCTTTCTGCATTACTGAATTTAGTTTCATCGCGTTTATTATATTTATTCTCAGATGTTTAATGCTTTAGTCTTACAGGCTTTTAGTCTGACGTCCGGATGATTATCTCTGTAGTTAAGGTACTTTCTAAAACATTCTTTGTAGTTTACACTGTAAAACCAAATGGATTATCACATTGCAATTGTTTTCGGTGATGGTCAAATGTTTGTGTTTTGGCCACTTTCCTGACCTTTTGTCAATGTCTTCCTCATTTCCTCTGATTACTATTCCCACTATCTTAAGCTTGCCAATTAGACTGTCTTTAATGGGAGAAATTATTACGTGTGATGCGGTCACCGGACCGTCTGAAGTTGAATTGAGATGCGCTACATCGCCTGATAAGCAGTATTGGTACGCAGCAAAATAGTGACATGACGTGTCCTGATTCGCCTTCGAATGGCGCTCGCACGTCCTTTAATGGTGGAATTATACCTCTGTACTTTCCTATATTGTGCAAGTATAACCTTGCTATGTATTCATCTACATGAGCCAGTGCAGTCTAATGTACTTCACGTATTTTTTCTGCATTTTATTTTCTTTGAAGCCTCTCTAACTTTGTTCTTATTAGTACAGTGATAAAAATATTTCTATTTAATTTATGATCTTAATATCACTAAAGTTAATCATAATCGTATAATCTTCATTGAAAAATTTATCAAAATGCCTTATCTACTTATGTTGAATGCCTTTTCTAAAAAAATACTTTTTTATCTTCATATTTAATGCATTTCAATTGAATTAATCTTTAGATTTTCTATATCTTCACTTGACTAGCTTCTAGATACATTGTTTGCTCTCCTTAGTATATAATATATAATATAAATTATTAAAACTTAAATTTTTTTTGCATCATATATGTTTACTATTAGGAGAAAATAATTAAAAAATATAGTAAAAAATATTTTAAGTATTGAAAAGAGCATTGATTTATTTTCAAAATAAAAAAATGACCAAATACTAACTAAACATACTTTATAGATTGATGTTAACCATTCACTTAGGGCTTATGGCATTACCTTTATTTTGTTTTTATATTTCTATTTTAAAAAAATTGTTTATTTGGTATTTTTTGTGTTTTATTTTTAAAAATAAATCAACTTGTTTTTAAAAATACACAAAATAGTTGTTAGATGTTCTAAGCATTTTTAAAAACAACTTAGTTTATTAAAAGCAAAAAAAAAAAAAAAACTTGATTGAATGATTGATTGTCAACCATTGAAGAAATATTAATAGTATGTTGGGAATGATTCTCATGATCGATCCAAATTGATGTGTTAAAAAGTTCATGGCGGCAGAGTATGTGTTTTACATTTTAGCTTTGTATAAAAATCTAGCACATACATAAAGGTTGTAAGATATCATAATTTTTTACATAGAAAGTCTAAGAATGAGAAAAACCATAGGGCTTGCCGCAATTGAAATAATTCACTAAATAATGAAATATACAATACTCTTCCCTTATTATTGAATAAGATGAGCATAATTGAGAACAATCATTTGATTCCGCTTTTAGGAGTTACTAAAATTGATTGTCTACAAACAGACACAAGCGGACAAGTAAAACCCAGCAATGAAGTTATATGTTAACAATCAAGTGATAATAGTCATACGACAAAAGTTTGTTAATGATGATCATGATTGCTAATGATAATTATCTAATGCAATAGAGTTCTTTAGCTATTTTAGCTCTTGAGCCTTGCCTTCATATGACTAATAGAGCCCTATTTATAGCCATTTTAGAGAGACATTTTGATAAATTTGATCATAATCTGAAACACTTCTCAGTATGGTTCATATTGATCATATTGATTATAGATCATTTATCAAACATGTAGTTATCTTAATGATGTTAGAATCAAATGACTTGTATGAATTATCGTTGATGTATCTTCCATTGAAGCTTTGTTGTTATATTGCTAATCATGTTCTACTTCCAATAAAATTAATCATATATTAATTTCTCATTGTTCTTTTGTGATTAAACATATAATTATCTTAATGATGTCAGAATCATAGACAAATGATGTGATTAATTTTTAGAAACCAAAATTAGTTATTTCCTTAATAAAAAAATTAAATATCTTTTAATTCTCATGTATATATACTTTAATATAAATATTTGAACTCTCCTTGAAACATAAATGTAAAATGATAAAAGATATCTTGATAAATATGCTTTTTTTTTATAATTTTTCATTTTTCTTCTTGTAGCTTGTGCTCTAAGCCTTCTTTACCTTGGGATGTTTTAAATTTAAAAATTTAAGTGTGCTTATGTAAAATTCTATGGGATAATAATATGGGAAAATAATATACATAATATTTAATTTTATCTATAGATTATATTTTAATTATTAAATTTGTGCATTTTCCATGTATCATAATCAGAATATTATTAATTTGATAAAAAATGAGTTAACATTTTATTATAAATTTGAATATTTTGATAAAATTTGAGAAAACAAAAATATAAATTTTATAGATTATTAGAACATAATAGCAGATAAATAAAAAGAAAAATACATTTGATCAAAGATATATGACATTATAATTTTATTTTAGGACAAAAAATAAATATAAATATCATTTTAAAGTTCAATATAAATATTTATATTAATATTTTTTGATTGAACATTTATTTTTAAAAATAATTTATCTTATACTATTAAGATAAAATTAATCACTATAATATTTTTAAGATAATATTGCGTAGTTTTCTTTTATGCTTCTTGTGAAGCCCTTTTATCGCAGAGGGATAAGCCATAATGTTTGCCGCTCCATCGTCTTCCCTCTCTTGCTCATACCGTTACCCTCGTCACCTCCAAATCTACCCTTCTCCTTCCTCTCTCGCCCTAATTGGTTTCGGGCGTTGGCCATCTCACTCCGCAGTCACAGCGCGCGCCAAATTCGAGAAATTTGACGCGGACAATGCTCAGCCACCAAGCCCCGTCGCTACGACGGACGAGGCCGCCGCCGAACTGCTGCAGGAGCTGGATGCTGACCCAATAATTTGCCCGTAAACAGACAGTTGGTTAATAGTTTTATACTAATATAACGAAAAGAAAAGGTAATTTATAGAGAAAGCTCATCTAGAAAGATGCTACAGGAAAAAAAAAAACGATAGGTAGGATTTACTCATTGAGGAATAAGAGAGATGGAGCAGAGAGAATGAGTGCATTTCACCCATTTTGTTTCATCTATTTCTCTCTAATATGTTGTTATACTTAATAATATGCTATGTATGATGTCTACAAATATTTACTTGACGCTAAACACCTTGTTGTTGGATTTATTTAGCTTTGAACATTGTTAAATTATGGTAAGGATCCATTCATTGGCCTTGTATCTAGGGGTCAAACTTTTGTGTTTGACGGTGTCTCAGGATAATTTGTTGAGGTTTATTGTCATCCATTGCTAGAGTGTGTGTTTGACTTATTCAGTTTTTTATTTTACTTTCAACTGATGCATGATGTCATAGGTTGTAGGTGTTTTGCTGCAACTAAATGATATAGCGGTGGATGAGATCGCATATGAATAAAAATTCGTAACTCAAAAATTACCAATTAAAACATGAACCCATCCTTTTTGAATGTAAATTTAAAAACATGAGAAATTCACGTGAAATAAAAAAAAATGCAAGAATATTCAAGAACCACAGTTCAAGTAAGATTCAGATTGCAAAAAGAAATCCAATTGTTATAAATTTGATTAGAGTTAATCACATTCACAAACTAGTAAAAAATCATTTAGGAGAAAAGAAAACAAGTAATGAATTCTTTAAGTAGAAAGATTCTAGTCTTATGTCGGTATAAGGAGATGATTTATTCCAAAAATTAATAGTAGTTTTTTTTACTATTCTCGAAGTGATGAACACCCCCTAGATTGGTCATAATCTAATTTATTTAATGCCAAAAGATCGCTATTACATGCATCTAATTATTCTATTTATAAGCATCAAAATAAACCATAACGTCTAAAGTTTATTGTCTATTTTGTTCACGTTGAAAAGTTAGTAGATTAGGAGAAATGAAAATTTGATGCATGTTCTAATTTCCTCAACAAAAAATTGATTAGCCTAAGCATCAAGATAAACATGCGTCAACTACATCATATTCTGATGTTGATCTAACTATAGAAATATCTTAACCACTTTCTAGAAGAATTGAACTATTTTACTTCAAGGACCAGGAACTACAAGAACAGCTACATAAGATAAAGCTTCAATAATAACTAGTATAGGAACTAAAGATTGTTATAAAAACTTCAAAATTTGAATCTCTATTATAGGGAGCAAATTCAACTAGCGTGAGCACAAAATCACTAGCATTGTGCACCTAAACTATCCATTTAAATTGAATCAAATCGTGTTGCACCGGATCAAGGATTGCATAGTAAAAGATATGCATCTCGGTATGAAAGGCGCATCATCATATGCACTTAAAGTTAAAATAAGAGCTATAAAATAAAACAACTAAAAAATAATGATAGTAAAAGAAACTTGCTAAGATCATTTATTTGATTGATGTTTTTTATGAGTATAAACTTGTAAATCTCCATTACATTTGCTCGGCTTTAAAAAATTTGGCTATGAAAACTTTAATGTTTGATACTAATCAAACATATCAAGTCATAAATGCTGCACTTCCTATAATGTTGTCCGAGAATCATCACTTGTTGGTTTATCATACCAATACAAATGATATCTCAAGAATCCACAATTAATAGTTGACACATTATCATCATCCAATATATATTGATTATATTCTAAAATAAAAATATTGAATTAACAACTAAAACACCTTCGGACAAAAAAAAGCTGCTGAATTTCACGGAAACAGCCCAAAAACAGTCCCAAGAATTGCTCTGATACCAATTTGAAGGAAACAATAGGAAAGCAGGAAAATAATTGTTGAAATCAGAAATTCTGCGGATTAACAAAACAGATTTTTAAGTTTTTATGGATGAAAACACAAGAAAAACGCTCAGGATTTTGCTAGGAGATGAAAAGAAATAACAAGATAGAAATGATCCTCTATTCGAGAGGATGATCAATCTCTCCAAAACTCTCTAGATGCCGCTAGAGCCTAAGACACCAAAGAGAACTTCAAGAATTAGCCACAAAAAAGTTCCATAACGCTAATACAAACTCCTAATTAAAGCAAACATAATAATAACCAAAAAGACTAAACATCCCCCTTCTCTCTTCCCTAATCCGTAGACCCCACCCCCAAGGGGGCTAAAATTCAAGATTGCGGCCTAGCAGGCTTCCGCCTATTGCAGGTTTTGAGCTGGCCCGAGGGTTGGGCCGGCTAGACCGGTCCCTCCTGGATCGTTCTAGGCGTTTCAACATATTTTTTAATTTAGTTTCTTATAAATGCAATATGTAGCTTTGTCATAATGACATCTTTAAACATATTGTTAGATATTATGCCAGATTTTTAGGTTTGTTTTTTGTATAGGTTTTTTGTATGGCATGTGTGGCCATTTGTGGAGCTATTTGTATAGCTTTTAGGTGCCTATTAATAGGCTTTAGTTTGTTTTAGGCTTTGAGGCCAAGAGAAATAAAGTTTACAGAATTTTTTTGGCTCTCCCCTCTCTTCTCTCTATCTCTTGCAAGATCTCTCAAGATCTTCCTCCTTAGTTTCAACAATTTGGTATCAGAGCCCTGGTGGCGATCTTGAAGGAGGAATGTGTTCTTGAGGTGTTCAAGTTGCCGATAAACGCGCAGAGTGGACAGGCTGCACGGGAGGCCGCTGGATCGGACTCACCGAAGCAAATCACGCGTGCGTGTACAGAGACGCAAGGCACGCGTGAGGAAGAACCGCGCAGAACGTGGGCTCGAGAGAGTGGTCCCTCCTGGACCGGTCTAGGCGTTTCAACATATATGTTAATTTAGTTTCTTATAAATACAATATGTAGCTTTGTCATAATGAAACCTTTAAACATATTGTTGATATTATTCCATATTTTTAGGTTTGTTTTTTGTATAGGTTTTTTGTATGGCATGTGTGGCCATTTGTGGAGCTATTTGTATAGCTTTTAGGTGCCTATTAATAGGCTTTAGTTTGTTTTAGGCTTTGAGGCCAAGAGAAATAAAGTTTACAGAATTTTTTTGGCTCTCCCCTCTCTTCTCTCTATCTCTTGCAAGAAGATCTCTCAAGATCTTCCTTCTTATTTTCAACAATTTGGTATCAGAGCCTGGTGGCGATCTTGAAGGAGGAATGTGTTCTTGAGGTGTTCAAGTTGCCGATAAATGCGCAGAGTGGACGGGCTGCACGCGAGGCTGCTGGATCGGACTCACCAGAGCAAATTACGCGTGCGTGAGCACAGACGCAAGGCACGCGGAGGATGGACGACGGACCGGGACGAGCTGGCCGGAGTCTGGCTCGCGTGTGCTGTGCGGGATTTCTTCCGTGTGCAACTCTGTACAGAAGATCAAAAAAGACGGACCAGGTGGAAGAGAGTTGTCTCACCGGAATATGAGCAGGACAGGCTTGATCGGAGCAGACGGGGTCAGATTCGTCTTGACTAGCTCGGAAGAAAGAAACCAGAAGCTGAACTTGGGCCGCTCAGTTGGCTCAGGCCAGGCACGCTAGAGGTTGACGAAGGCAAACAAGAGCGGAGGCATGGAAGCCGTTGAGGCCGGATTTTTTGCTTGATCTTGAATCAAGTTTTGGTTTGGGATTTTATCCCTGTTCTCTGGCATTTTTTCGGTTCCTATTGTTCTCTTTAATCTTCTTGTTTTTACTGTGAAGATCTGCTGAAGAAATAAGGTGGAGTTTTGGACTCCTGGTGGAGTCAGGGAGACACTGAGATGGTGTTAGCTGTTCTTGAGGAGCAGTGTTGAAAGTGCAGGGCGCTTGGAGGTGCGAGTTTGTGCGGTGCACAAGGAGGCCGCATAGGAGCGCGGGGCACTGGTGACGAGCGGAGCGCAGGTGAAGGCGCAGGACTCGCTGCACGGGTTGATACGTGCAGGATGTGGTTGGTGACAGACCACATGGGTGTAAGGCGCGGGCGCTGGGCTGAAAGCGTTGGACGCTGGCTGGAGGCGCAGGGCGCGGGCACTGAAGCGCAAGGTGCAGGTTGATGCACAAGGAGCGGAAGCCAGGCTAGGGGTGCTCGGGATTGGCTGCGTTGGATGCAGTGCGACAGGTGAAGATCTTTCAGGAGGTGGAGCTAGAAACTCAAGAAGTTGATTGATCGGTTCTTGAGAAATCTTTTAACTATCGGTGGACGCTTTTTGGCGGAGGAGATCGACAGGGTTGTTCTTTGGCTGTTCTTTATGAACAGTGGTTATCTTTTGTTTTGTAAAATCTGGACTAAGGGGGTGATTGTTAGATATTATTCCATATTTTTAGGTTTGTTTTTTGTATAGTTTTTTGTATGGCACTATGGCATTTGTGGCCATTTGTGGAGCTATTTGTATAGCTTTTAGGTGTCTATTAATAGGCTTTAATTTGTTTTAGGCTTTGAGGCCAAGAGAAATAAAGTTTACATAATTTTTTTGGCTCTCCCCTCTCCTCTCTCTATCTCTTGCAAGAAGATCTCTCAAGATCTTCCTCCTTAGTTTCAACACATTTTTTTTAGGGGGATCCCAATCTATGCAGGCTCCAAGTACCAATATTGATAAAGAAATTAATACTCTTGAAAACCGGTTTCAGGGGAACCAATCATTAGAGATCTTGTGTAGGATCTAGATTGCACAAACTCTGGAATCCATTAGAAAGAGATAGAGAAGGTAGAACATTAACTAAAAAGGAGGAAATATGAGCTCCCTTAATGAGAATTGAAACGTCTTCAAAAAATTATCTTGATCGAGCACGAATCTTGAGCAAAATTTAGTTGAAAACTTTCAAAATTAAAATTGGGACAATTCGAACTACGATTTCAGCAAACTTATAGTCGAACTGAACGTCTTGGAAATACGAACCCAACGACACCAAATTCGACTCAATCCGAGCCCAAATGGGTCCAAATCAAGGGCTCAAAGCGCTGTTGGAAGGTTCGAACCACAATTTGGATTATCAAACAGTTTTCAAACGTGATATGCTCATAGTCGAATCGAGCGGCTTGATGAGACGAATCCAACGAGCCTAAGATCACATAATACCAACATCATTAATACCTTAAAATGTCCGACAAACGGTCCACGATCAAGGGATTCAACATTGACCGTCCATCCAAACCACTCCCCATTCACCCTTGATATTCCTCCGATTTACGGGCAATGCCATTTTAGAAAATCTATAAATAGACCATTCCTCCTTCTTGAAAGGTGGCTCCAAGCAAGAGAGCAAGAGAGAGATCATAAATCACTCTTGCCTCCTCGCTCCTCCTCGACCACCTCATGGAGTTCCTCCGGGCCACTAATTGAGGCCTGGAGTTCAGCCGGACCTCTACCTTAGGCCCATACTTCTGCCGGACCCCCACCTGAGGCCCAGACTTCTGTTGGACCGCCACCTGACGCACGAAATTTTGCCGGACCACCACCTGAGGCCTGGACTTTTGTCGGACCACCACCTGAGGCACACTTCTACCGAATCACCAACTTACGCTCGGAGTTCTACCGGACCACCACCTGACGCCCGGAGTTCTACCGGACCACCACCTAACACCCAACATTCTTCTGGACCACCACCTGAGGCTCAGAGTTATAGCGGAGTACCGACCTACTACTACGGTCTTTTTGACCCCGGTCTCTTGCCAACTACAGTCTTTCGGACCCCTGTTTCCTGCCGATTATGGTCCTTGCGACCTCCGTCGCCTACTACGGTCCTTCCGACCTCCATTATCAGACAACAGTCTTTTGGACCTCTGTCTTTTGCCGACTATGGTCCTTTCGACCTCCGTTGCCTACTACGATCCTTCTGACCTTCATCTCCAGACAACTGTTTTTTGGGCCCCGGTCTCCTGCCTACTATGATATTTCTGACCTCTATCCTATCAACTATGGTCCTGCCGACCAAAAAAACTTGTCTATGTTGATTATTGTAACTCCTACTATGTAATGCGCTTTATATGATGCACATTTGTGACATCAATCCAAGACCTTTTCTTAAGGAAGGGCCTTGTTTGTAATCAATTGCAAATACTAGTGGATTCTTTCAAACTGGGCCAGGCCCCATGATTTTTCCCCATTTTCAGGAGTTTTCACGTAAAAACTCTGGTGTCTTTTATGAACGCTACGCTATCTCTTTCATCTGCTTGTGTGTTGGATCTTCTTACAACGCTAAGTTGTTAAACTATATATTTCTGTATCGCCGCAAATATTCCAAGACACGACAAGAATGAACGCCGGATTGAACAGCAAAGTAACCATATTTTTTTTAAGGATTGCTGCAAGATTGTAAACTTTTGTACTTTTGACAATTGCAAAGCTTTCAGGTTTCCGTTACAACCTATCTTGAAAGACTATTTTCTTCTCTCCTTTTAATTTTCTTGGACAATTATTTCTTTTGATTATTTTATTTATATTTCTAGATATAGTATTATATTTTGTATGATCAAGTTAAAACTTTAATAAAATCCTATGCATTGACAATTCATGATGATATCAATATGTCAAAAGTATTGTTTTATTGCTTAATGGAGGTTTTTTAAAGGATTTAACATCCGAACCAAGCTTCTTTGAAATAATTTATTTATTCCGTTCATAGTACTGCTTTTCTTTTGCCAGTATTGTTTAAATATTATGGGACTTAAGCCCATTATTATGCTGAACAGCTTTTGTTTACCATTCATATCTTCCTCTTGTGCTTTGGTATTCTTCAAATTTATCATGAAAAACATGCACTAGACACCTGTATGGGGGAATGGTATGCTCAAATGCCTCAGCCATGCTTTAAGCCAGTTGATTTTCCTTACTGTTACTTAATCCATTCAGTTTACATCATTTTTATTTATTTTCAGGTTGAGCTATTGATCCCTCAATTGCAATTTCTTGATGCTGAAGGCGCTCAAGGTGAACTGTGGGAATTATCAAGAATTTTCTTAGAGACACTAATAGAAAAGACAGGGATTCAGGTTGGAAGTATATTCTTAACTGTGTTGTAGGTTTACAATCAGGTTTCTGATCCCTTTTTCCTATTTTAATAATTTCTATAGTTGTTTCAAGCACAGGTATTCTCAGAAAATCTAAATTATCAACTTGCCAGTTGCGTTTAAATTGTTAAAGTTTACAATTGAGCTCAAGTTCTTGGATTTTATTTTGTATGCTTGAATTTCAAAGTGAATCTCAAGGTAAAATACATTATTAGAACATATAATTATGAAAAATTGGTAATGAGAATATAAATTTGCTATTTATTCCTGTTTCTTAGGAGCATACGATATTTTTAGCTATTTATTCTGCAAGTGTTCTTATGTGAAAACAAAATTCTTTCAACTCCCTCAATCCTAAGATTTCCATGGGATTTGAAACTGAAGTGATTCATTATTTAAGACTTCGGGCTATATGTTTGTTTTGTCTGATTTTGATGTAATGATTGATGATCTTAGTTTAGCCTAAAAAATTTAATTGTGGTTTCTAATTAGAAAAAAGCTGATTGACGTCGTTGGGTATTACGGCAGAAGATAACATGCTATGTTTCTCAAGTCAGACAAAAAAATCCTCGATGTGTTGGCATTTGATGTGGCAGTCTTTTTTAACATGTTGACAATTTTATTAACATGGTCATTTTTACTGTTTAATATAATTTCTAGCTTTATTTACATGTTGACAGCCTTTATTAGCATAGTAATGATGGCTCATTAAGTTTTTTTATTTTTATTTTTGGGTTATGGCTTTATTTATTGATTTAGAGAGAGTATATGATAAAGTTCCAAGAGATGTGCTTTGGAGAGTTCTAGATATGAAATGGATTAATAATGCTTATATTCAAGTTAGTAAGGATATGCATGCAGGAGCTGTTGTGTTCAGACACAAGGTGACTTGACCAAGTATTTTCCTTTTTCAGTTAGAATACATCAAGGATCAGCCTTGAGCCCATATCTTTTTGCTTTAGTCATGGATGCTCTCACTAGACCATTAGCCAAGAAGGTTGTACCTGGTGTATGCTTTTTGCTGATGATTTTCTTCTTGTTAAATAAGACTATATAGAGGGAGTTGAAGGTAAAGTTGAATTATGAAGGTCAACGTGAGAGTCTAAAGGCTTTTGTTTGAGTAGATTAAAACTGAATATATGGAGTGTAAATTTAGTAATAATAGTTCTTGTGGGGGGATTGTGACTTGTGATCAAGTCATTAATAAGAGTACACGTTTTAGATATCTTGGGTTTATTGTTCAGAGTGATGGTGAAATAGATGGGATAATATTAGTAGAATTCAAGTTGGATGGTCGAAGTGGAGAAATGCATCGAGCTTGTTGTGTGATAGAAAAGTCCCCCTCAAACTTAAGGGGAAATTCTATAAGTTGGTGGTTAGATTTGCAATGCTTTATGGCGCAGTATTGGCCATTTAAGAGAAGGCATAATATTATGTAAGTGTTGTAGAGATGAGGATGCTCAGGTGGATGAGTGGCTTTACTCTTAGATATAAGATACGAAATGAGTATATGCGTGAAAAGGTTGGAGTAGCTTCAGTGGAAGAGATTAGAGAGAGTCTGTTAGACGCGGTCCAAAAAGGACCGGTCGCAGCCGGCCCAATCCAGCGGGCCGGCTCTCTTTACCAAAGGAGAAGGCGGGCGGAACAGGGGGGGGAAGTTCGGCGGAAGCAGCAGGGAGGGGCTCGGTGGGGTCCACTTGAAATTCAAATTGTTTCTTGGAGCCAAAAGGAGGGGAAGTGAGGGTAATTAGGTCCTTTTATTTCTATTTTTGAATTGTATGCAATTAAGTAGGGAGTAAAGGGGAGGATTAGGGTTATGTGATTTTTGCTTTTGAAGTTTCTTGTTCTTCTGTGTTGGTCCGGGCTCTAGATCGATTCTAGAGATTGAGAGAGTGCGATCCTCCTCTCGAATAGAGGATTCTTGTATCTTTGCTAATTTCCTTGCATATACTAGTAAAAATACAAGTCTTTTTTCTCCTATTTCTCTCAGTTTTTCCACGTTTTTCCCACTGTTTTGACTGTTTTTCTGCTGTGGACAGCAGTTTGCGCGGAGAGTTATTGTGAAAGTGAATAGGAAATACTTGAAATCAAGTATTTCCTATCAAATTGGTATCATAGCAAGTCTTGGGACAAATCGTGGGCTGTTTTTGACCAATTTCAGCGGCTGAAATTGTTCCGAGGAAGGAGAAAATTGCTGATTTTTTTTTTCAGATCTTGGAGATCTTCTCCTAAATTGCAAGCCGTGGGAGATGGCGGCTAAGAAGGTGGATGCTTTGGAGGAGAGGATTGAAGGAGAGATAAATCAAATCAAGGAAACCGTAGAAGAAAGAATGTCCTCCATGGAAGGACAAGTGGCCGATCTACGGGATATGATGAAGAAGATGTTGGAGTTTCAAACCCAATCGGCGGCGTCTGATGCAAAAGGGCCCGCAGCTAAGAACGCCAACTCTGAAATCCATCGGGAGGAAGAGGAAGTGGAAATTGTAGAAGGGAGTAGGGGAAGACCTCATTTGGAGCCTTTCCAGAGGGAGGAGAGAGGAGGAAGGTATGGGGAAAGGCAAGGCTATGGAGGCGTGGAGCCAAGAGGTGCTGGTTGGGAGCATCGGGGTGGTTATCATGGGCGCCGGGATGCTGATTTTGAAGACTGGAGAGGGGATTTTGAAGGGGGATTGGGACAGGGGCGAGCAAGGGAAGATCGGGAAACATGGGGAGGCCCAGGCACTTGGGAGAGGGGAAACTATGGAGGATTAAGGGGGAATGGCGGGGATCGGAAGGTGAGGAAATTGAAAATGCCCATTTTTGAAGAGGATGATGCTTATGGGTGGATCTACAAAGTGGAGAGGTACTTTGCTGTTAACGGATTGACGTAGGAGAAGTTATCGGCAGCGGGTTTGTGTCTGGAAGGGAAGGCACTCTCTTGGTACCAATGGAGAGATCAGAGGAGACCTATTCGGAGCTGGGGAGAATTCAAGGACAGTTTGTTAGAGTGTTTCCAAACCGACCGGGGAGGAGACTTCTACGAGCAGTTCTTTGCCCTAGTACAGGAGGAGTCTGTGGCAGACTATCGAGAGAGGTTTGAGCATCTGGCCAGCAGGGTGGAGCGCTTGTCTGAGACGGTGCTGGAGGGAAATTTTATGAAGGGGTTAAAGGCCGAGGTGCGAGCAGCGGTCAAGGTCCTGTGCCCAGGGACCTAGGGGATGCCATGAAGCTTGCCCAGTTGGTCGAAAATCAAAAGAACCTAGAGAAGGGAGCGAGGAGTAGTAGTAACTCAGGAGGCACTTACAAGTGGACGACTACCCACCTAGCCACCAAGGGAGCTTCCCCAGGAGGGATGAAAGAAGTTCCAAAGGAAAAAAGCAACAGGAGAAGGAAATGGGGGACAGTTCAAGAGGCTCACTGACAAGGAAATGCAAGAGAAGAGAACAAAAGGGCTGTGTTTCCGATGTGATGAAAAATACATGCCAGGGCATAAGTGCAAGGATCGAACTCTTCAAGTTCTCCTCGTTTGTGAAGACGAGGAAGACGAAGAGGGTGGGGGGAGCGAATCAGAGGTGGAGGAGGAAAAGATGCATCTGAATGTGGTAGAAGTCTCTCTCAACTCTGTAGTGGGATTCACTCCGAGTCACACTATGAAAGTGAAGGGAGAGATAGCTGGCCGTGGAGTCGTGGTGTTGATTGATAGTGGGGCAACCCACAATTTCATTTCCACCCAGATTGTGGAGTTGTTGGGGATGAAGTTAGTGGATACTGGAGGCTATGGGGTGATGATGGGCACTGGGAAGGTAGAAATGGGAAGAGGAATCTGCAAAGGAGTGGTGCTGAAAATCCAAGGCATACAAGTGAAGGAAGACTTCCTTCCCCTGGAACTGGGGAGTACGGATGTCATCCTAGGGATGAAGTGGTTGTAGATTTTGGGGGAAACCAAAATCAATTGGGGCACACTGCGGATGGAGTTGGTGAAGGGTGGAAGGAAAACAGTGATTCAAGGGGATGCAGGGCTGACCAAAGCAGGGGTTTCTCTGAAATCCCTAATCAAGACAATCCAGGAGGAAGGGGAAGGCTACTTGGTGGAATTACATAGCTTAGAGGGAGAGAGTGGGGAGGAAGGGGGAGACATACCCCTCTCTGTGCAGCCGTTGATCCAGGAGTTCGGGGAGGTTTTTCAACCCTCTATAGGGTTGCCACCACCCAGGGAGCAGGAGCACGCCATCACATTAAGAGAGGGAGTGTCGCCGGTCAGCGTGCGACCTTACCGTTACCCTCAGTTTCAGAAGGATGAAATAGAAAGGTTGATCAGAGAAATACTGGAAGCATGGATCATTAAGCCCAGCACCAGCCCATTCTCTAGTCCTGTTCTATTGGTAAAGAAGAAGGATGGCAGTTGGAGGTTTTGTGTAGACTACCGCGCACTCAACAAGGAAACGGTACCTGATAAGTTTCCCATACCAGTGATTGACGAATTGTTGGATGAATTGAGTGGAACAGTGATTTTCAGCAAGATCGACCTGAAATCTGGATACCATCAGATTCGAATGAAGAAAGAAGATGTGCCCAAGACCGCTTTTAGAACTCATGAGGGCCACTCTGAGTTCTTGGTGATGCCCTTTGGCCTCACCAATGCTCCCGCCACTTTCTAGGCACTCATGAATATGATTTTCAAACAGTATCTGAGGCGATTTGTTTTGGTATTCTTCGATGACATCTTAGTGTATAACAGAATAGAGGAAGAGCGCTGGGGGCACTTGAAGAAGGTGTTAGAGGTTCTCCAGGAGCACCAGCTGAGGGCTAACTTGAAGAAGTGTTGTTTCGCACAAGCTAGTGTGGAATACTTGGGTCATGTGGTATCCAAGGAAGGGGTAGCAGCAGATCAGTCCAAGATTGAAGCCATGCTTAAGTGGCCATTGCCCAAAAATCTAAAGGAGCTGAGGGGATTCCTAGGGCTTACATGGTACTACAGAAGATTTATGAAGGGATACAGCACTATAGCTTGGCCACTCACTGAGCAGTTGAAGAAAGATGGATTCTTATGGGGGGAGACAGCTATGACAGCATTTGAGCAGTTGAAGAAAGCTATGACCACAGTTCCGGTCTTAGCTTTACCGGATTTTACTCAGGCCTTTATAGTGGAGACAGATGCATCAGGATACGGGCTAGGAGCAGTGTTGATGCAGAATCACAAGCCCATTGCTTATTTCAGCCAGGTGTTGACAGCCAGAGCCCGTCTGAAATCTGTATATGAGAGGGAGTTGATGGCAATTGTTTTGGCCATCCAAAAGTGGCGTCCTTACTTGGAAGGCATTTCATCGTCCGGACCGACCAACGGAGCCTGAAATATTTGCTGGAGCAGCGCATGGTGACAGAGGAGCATCAGAGGTGGCTATCCAAACTGCTCGGGTATGATTTTGAGATTCAGTGCAGACCCAGTGTAGAAAATAAGGCAGCAGATGTCTTGTCAAGGTGCATGGGTGAGCTGCAAACAGTGGCTGTGTTAGTCTCAATGATGCTAGATTGGGAAGCCATAAAGGAGGAGAGTGCTAAAGATGAGGAATTAAGCAAGATCAGAGCTGATTTAGTGAAGGAAGAGGGAGGCCATCCAGGGTACTCATTGGAGGGGGAGAGATTATTATATCAGGGGAGGTTTGTGTTGCCAAGAACGTCAGTACACATCCCACAATTGCTCCAGGAGTTTCATGGAACTGCAGTGGGAGGTCATTTAGGAGTGCTAAAGACCTATAGGAGACTAGCGACAGAGCTGTACTGGAAAGGTATGCACAGAGATGTGGAAGAGATGGTATCCAGGTGCGAGATCTGCCAAATAAATAAGTATCTAGCTATGTCACCAGGAGGGTTACTGCAGCCCTTGGCATTACCAGGACGAGTCTGGGAGGAGATATCTATGGACTTCTTTGATGGGCTACCCTGCTCTGAGGGATTCACTGTGATTTTGGTGGTAGTGGATAGATTGAGCAAATATGCTCACTTTATTCCTCTACGCCATCCATACACCGCGGCGACAGTAGCATCAGTCTTCATCAGGGAGATAGTCAGACTACACGGAGTGCCAGAGGCGATAGTATCAGACAGAGATAAAGTGTTCCTCAACCATTTCTGGAAGGAATTGTTCAGACTGCAGGGGACAGTGCTAAAGAGGAGTACGGCGTACCACCCACAAACTGATGGCCAAACAGAATTAGTCAATAGGAGCCTGGAAATTTATCTGAGATGCTTTGCATTGGAAACACCCAAGCTATGGGCTAAATGGCTATCATGGGCTGAGTACTGGTACAACACCTCTTTTCATTCATCCTCTCAGATGACCCCATTTAAGGTGTTGTACGGAAGGGATCCGCCCCACTTGGTGCATTTTTGGAGTAGCAGCACACCCGTGTCTTCGGTAGAGGAGTATTTGGAGGAGAGGGATAAGACACTGGAAGAGTTAAAAGACATCTGTTGCGGGCTCAACAGATTATGAAGAAACAAGCTGACGGGCATCGGAAGGATATTCAGTTTGAGGTGGGCGAGAAGGTATTTTTGAAACTCCGCCCATATCGACAGAAAACGATCGCCAATCGGAGGAATGAGAAGCTTGCTCCAAGGTACTTCGGTCCTTATGAAGTACTGGAGAAAATTGGAGCCGTGGCATATCGTCTGAAGTTACCACCGACAGCGACGATCCATCCAGTTTTCCATGTATCCCAGCTAAGGAGAGCCATTGGAAATTATGCTACCAGTTCTGAGTTATCAGGGACATTAACAGATGAAATGGAAATGATATTGGAACCTTTGGAGCTCAGCGAGGTTCGCCAGAAAGCAGATGGAGCCACAGAAGTCCTGATCAAATGGAAGAACCTCCCTGACTACGAGGCCATGTGGGAGCCATACGAGCGGATGAAGCAACCGTTTCCTGACTTCCACCTTGAGGACAAGGTGGTTCTTTGGGAGGGCGATAATGTTAGACCAGTCCAGAGAGGACCGGTCCAGCCGGCCCAATCCAGCGGGCCGGCTCTCTTTTACCGAAGGAGAAGGCGGGCGGAATAGGGGGGGAGTTCGGCGGAAGCAGCAGGGAGGGGCTCGGTGGGGTCCACTTGAAATTCAAATTGTTTCTTGGAGCCAAAAGGAGGGGAAGTGAGGGTAATTAGGTCCTTTTATTTCTATTTTGAATTGTATGCATTAAGTAGGGAGTAAAGGGGAGGATTAGGGTTATGTGATTTTTGCTTTTGAAGTTTCTTGTTCTTCTTTGTTGGTCCGGGCTCTAGATCGAATTCTAGAGATTGGGAGAGTGCAATCCTCCTCTCGAATAGAGGATCCTTGCATCTACTAGTAAAATACAAGTCTTTTCTCCTATTTTCTCTCAGTTTTTCCCTGTTTTTCCCACTGTTTTGGCTGTTTTTTCTGCTGTGGACAGCAGTTTGTGCGGATAGTTATTGTGAAAGTGAATAGGAAATACTTGAAATCAAGTATTTCCTATCAGAGTCGCTCTAGATGGTTTGGTCACATAAATCGGTGGCCTTCCGATGACCTGGTTAGGAAAGTAGATGTATTAGATTTAACTTATGTTAAAAACGGTAGATGTAGATCTAAAAAGACTTGGTTAGAAAATATTAGAAATGACCTTTCATTATTAGATTTAAATGAGAATTTAACTTTTAATAGGGGCACAATGGAGAAAAAAAGATTCATGTAGTCGACCCATGTAGTGGGATGAAGATTTGATGTTGTTGTTGTTTGGTTATGGCTTGGGAAATATAGCAAAACCCTGGTGAAAATAAGAGGGTGGGGGTGTGGCATACTTCTTTGTGGGAAAAATCTAGAATGGTCGCAACTTAAACTGGAGTGGATGTGGTAAACCTTTTTTGTGAAAAATCTAGAATGGTTATAACTTAAAATTTTAGTACACAAAGTCGTGGAGAATAAAGAGCCAAATGACCATATTGGACAGACTTGGTGTAGTGTCATTGGAAGATCTGATATGCTATGAATGGAATATTTAATGCAGAAGCACCGTTAAGGCATGGGTATAAGATTAGTATGAAAAGGTTTGGTAGGAAAATGGGAGGGCAAAGCTTGAATGGTTAATTACTTTGAATTCATAAATGTGATGGAGCAGGGAAGAGAAAATAGGTGAACTTTATATTAATTATTGGAGTGATCCAAATAGACAGCTTGGATCAAGCGAAAACTGAGAATAGGCCTTAAGAATAATTTTATTCACTGGTTTGAGCCTAAGCTACCTGCAATGGAGAATTGTGGAACTGAAACAAAGATCTAGGTGGGTTTTGAATTTGCTTACAGTGATAAATTTGTTTCTATTTGGGCTTTTTTTCCCTTGTAGGTTTTTCTCTTTTTTATTAGAATAGAGAGAGAGAGAGAGAGAGAGAGAGAGAGAGAGAGAGAGAAGGATCAAAATGGTCACTCAACTCTTTGTGAGGGACCAAAATGGTCTCCAACTCTTCTGAGGAATCAATTTGATCTCTCAATTCCTTAAAAAAGGGGCATTTTTGATCCTAACATTAAATTTTGGTATTAATGGTATTAATTCAAGGTGTGTTTTGATCATTTTTTAATTAAATAATTTATTAAATATGATTTTAAAGTAATAGTATTTTTTTAAAATTACTAAACATTTCTTTAATAAAAAATTAGTCATAATTCTCGTCTATAACTATCCTAAATTAAAACTATAATTATTAATATTTTTTTAACTTAAAGCTAGAATTATTAATAAATTTTTTATTAAAGAAATGTTTAATAAAACTTTTTTAAAAAATTTACTATTACTTGAAAATTACATTAATTAAAAATGACTAAAATACCCTTTGATTTAACACCATTAATTCTAAAATTTGATGTTAGGACAAAAAATGCATCTTTTTAATAGTGTGAGGGCCAAATTGGTCTCTCAAAAGAGTTGGGGACTATTTTGATCCCTCACAAAGAGTTGAGGGATCATTTTGCTCCTTATCTCTCTCTCACTATATATTTTATGTCATGCTAGTTGATTAGGTTTGTAAGGGAAAACAATTCACTTCCATCAACTCTCCTGCCTGTTATCCAGTTTATATTGATCAGCTTAACGATTTAGTTTGTATGCTTAACTCCCTAACTTCTGTTTTATCAAATTGTCAGAAGGTGAGAGCCATATTTCCGGATGCTGGTGCTGCTGCACTTCTGAAATATCAGTGGGGAGATGCAAACTTTGGATTTGCAAGGTTTGCACTTTCCAGCTTTTTTTATTTAAAATAAATCATTTTAGGTCTTTGTTTATAGAATAGTTCAATTTATTTGGCTTAATCTTTTTCTTTTTTCTCTTTTTCCATGGAAATGTCAATATTATTCCCACCACCATCAATAAGCTTAAACAGAACAAGAATTATTTGTACATCAAGGCAATGTGATTTCATCATTTTATAGTGAGCATTGAATATGTAGTTTATTCATAGTCTCTACCATCTGTACTATGCAAGGTTTTCTGTTTTTATTTTTAGATTTAATCCAAATTTGCAGTCTTTGTTTTTCTTCGCTTAACAGTTTCTCTTTTCCTGGCTCACAGTTACATTCCAACACCAATATTTCTATATTCTTTTGCAGCTTAAGTGATCGGAGGCCTGTAGAAAAAGATGATGAAGTTGTAGTTATGCTAGTTCCGGATTATCAGATGCTAGAATATGTGGAACGCATAGCATCTCAGCTATCAGATGACCCAGTATGTGAATCTATTGAAATCACTGGTACAACATGTTTTCTTTTTTTGTTTCATTTCTATTGCTTTTGTGTAATGATACTTGCATCATGTAAGATATGTAAAATGATTGGAGTATTCCCTTTTTGACATCTATTCTTATAGATATATGTTCTTCCAGCATTCCCAGATTTAGAGGTTATTTTAGTCTTTTTAGATCAACCACTTGATTTTGCAACTTAAGTGTATGCATGGTCAGCTAGCATTAATATAGCCATCTTAATATAGTATTTCTTTTCCAAGATTCATTCTTTATATTTATGAGCCATGCATAAGTTTTTCTAGATCAAATGTTTGATTAAGGAGCCCATAACATATTCGTGATCAGCTAGCTTTAATATGAACATCTTAATAGATCAATTCTTCTCCAAGATTCATTTTTAAAAATTCAAATCGTTTCTTAAGATTTATTCTTTTAATGTGCTAAATTCAGAAGCACGCCCTTTTAATTGTGGTAGTGGTTTACACATTCCAGGAATGTAAAGAAAGTCATGATGAAATGTTATTTGTTGTTGGCAACCGCAAGATGTGCTGTTGTATGAATGATTAGTAATGTCAGTAAAAAGCTGTTACCGGCAGTTTTGTTTAGCAAGGAAATTTTAATTTTGGAATTTCAAAGGTGAAATACAAGCAATGCCACCGCTGCTTCAGACTTTTCTTGCATGAGTAGTTTTCAACAAAGGATTTAGTTTTCTGTTCCAAACTTTTTGCTTGAGAATTGTAATTATCATAAGGAAGCTAAAAGTCTTGCGAAGAGAGTTGTCAACATGATAAAGGAAGCTAGTACTAAGGAATGATAAAGTGATGTAGACAAAAAAAGCTAAGAGATTAGAGATTTTGATTAAATATCATCCATTAAGAAGTGTGGCCATAAGATCTTTCTTAAAATGAAGTCAAGAAGGAAAAATGAAAATGTTCATTTGCGAAATTATTAAATGAGAATTTTAAGAAAGAAAACTTTTTGAAAGGTCATAATGAAAATGATAATAAAATATATTGTAGACTGACAAAAAAAAAAGTGAATTCAAGTTGGATGGTCGAAGTGGATGAGTACATCGGGCCTGTTGTGTGATAGAAAAGTATCCCTCAAACTTTCGAGAAAGTTATATAAGATGGTGGTGAGACTTGCAATATTTTATTGCGTAGAATGTTGGTCATTAAAAGAGAAACATACAATTAAGTGTAGAGATGAGGATGCTCAGGTGGATGAGTGACTTTACTCCTAGAGATAGAACGCGAAATAGGAGTATAGGAGTAGCTCCAGTGGTAGATAAGATTAGAGAGAGTCGCCTTAGATGTTTTGGTCGAATAAGACGTTTGTCTTCTGATGACCCAGTTAGGAGAGTAGATGCATTAGATTTGACCTATGTTAAGAGAGGTAGAGGTAGACCTAAAAAGACTTGGTTAAAAGATATTAGAAATGATTTTTTTTCTTAAATTTAAACGAGAATGTGACTCTTAATAGGATAGGATACCATGGAGAAAAAATTATTCATATAGTTGACCCCACGTAAAATTATTCATATAGCTGACCCCACGTAAAATTGTTCATATAGCTGACCCCATGTAGTAGGATAAAGGCTTGATGATGTTGTTGTTGTACTGGTAAAAAAAGTGAACTTAACTTTGAAGAAAATATTTACATGAGTGGAATGTTAATAATGGTAATAAAGTATGTTGGTCAATTGATGTCTAATGAAAATTTGAAGGTTAAGAGGATCTCAAATAGTTGAAGAAATATTTTGATGTGATTATTCTTGAACTAATCAGTTTTTCAAGATCATGATAATTACAGAGGAATTAGTCTTATGAATTATAAATAAAGCGGTAGAAAAGGGTAATGGAACATTAAATTTAAAACGTTGAACCCATTGCAAACAAATAATTTAGTTTCATGCCAACAAGATCTAGTGTGGAGGCGATTTTAATGCTTAATGAAAGAAATCTAATTAGTAAAGAAAGATCTTGAGATAATTTTTTCTGATCTTAATGGCTGATGAGGCATCTGATATAGTACCAAAAGAATTCACATGGTGTACATCTAGAATAAAAAGGTTTGCATACAAGTTATGTTTGAAAATTTCTAAGATATGTATGGATTATTGTTAGAAATATAAAGGATCGTGAAGTTATCAAGGAACTTCTATTCTTGGTAGGTTTAATTCCAGGATTAACATTAACTTTATATTTTTAGAATGATAGTAGAGATGCTTACAAAGTATATTTAAAGTGAAATATTTTTATGTATATTTTGTGCAGATGGCATGTACCTACTTGTTGAGGTCTCTGACGAATAAGTGAAAATTTTGAACAAGTAAGATAATGTTTAAATGATGAAGGGATCATGATTAATTTAATGAAGACTCATCACATTATATGTGATATTGTGTAGGATTAGAAAAGAGAGTTTTTGATTTTTTGCATTTCTTAATTAATTGCAAGAGGCGATAAAAGAAGAGGTGGAAAAGTTGAGCATAAGAAAATAGGAAAATGAAAGACAATGCAATAGGAAACACGAGAGAGTTTTTAGGAGGATATAAGACAAATGAGTGGGATATTATTTTGAGGGTAACTGAAGTTAGGCGAGCATGAAAAGATGTAAGGTGTGAAAACCATTGAAAGAAAGAAGCGGGCTCAGGAAAACAATAAGAAGCAGAGAATGTGGGAGGATAATAAAGGAGTAGAAAAGATGGGATAGAGACGAGAGAGAGATATGTTAGAGGATGATATGATATGACAATCTACTCAATATCGTGAAGTAGTGTTGACACTTATGGAATAGTTGGAATTGGTGTTGCTGGTGGGGATGTGAAAACTCCACTTGTAGAAATGCATCTAGAAAATTTTGGAAGCTCAAAAGTGCTCTCTATGGTATTAAATATTCAACATTGAAGGTAAGAATAATGTGTGTTCAAACAAATCAATATTAATAATATATGCATTTGTTTCAAGCTTTCCAACTATTTTGTTTGGGCTTGAGGCTTAGACAAAGTTTTTAGAGGAATTACACATTTGAGTTTGAATATTGTGAATTGAAAATGCTGGTTTGCTTCTTGGATGTGGTCACGAGTAGGTGTGACCTTCTTTACATGCAATAAGCCAATAAGTGAAGGGAAGAAAATAGAAATTCCTTCTTTAGAGTTTTAAACTATCAATTTCAGTATGAATGTTATTGTTTGATGTAGGCTATAGTAGGGCAGATTCTTCAAATGTTGTGCTTAAGCAATTTTGAGTATGAGGTGAATCTAAGGAAGAAAAGAGCCAATTGCCAATAATTGTAATTTTGCAATTTTATTTTGCTTAGGCACAAGTTGAACCTTAGAGTTTGGTTTATAGGGATTTGTTTGGGAATTTTGTCAAGTGAGTTGATAGGGAATACCTTTAATGGTCTTTTTCTTATATTTGAAAATAAATGTATTATCATGATTGTAATGAATAACATCTATATCCCATAGCAATGTTTTTCTAAATAAAATATGACCCATGTTCAAGGCAAATCATGACATCAAAATTTTTCTCCTTAATTAGTTAACATTACAGAAACAACATTTGGTAGTAGCAGGTAACTATATATGATTAATCCAACTAACTTGGAAATGGTGGATGGGGTTTAGTTTCAAGATTAACCCTGATTAAAGTATGAGTTAGGATAACATTCATGGAACCCTATCATCAATATTAGCTTACATTCTTTATCATTAAAGGTGGTATATACATTAAAGATATTTCATTTTCTCCCATCTTTAGAGTCATGATTAGTCATAGATGAACATCTCATAATACCTAAGTGAGTTCCGTCTTCATGTTGAATTTTCTTGTTTAATATAGGTGATATTTATAACTAATTTAAAATCGTTGTTCTCAGGGTCTTTAGATTCCCAAAGTAATAAAAGTTGAGCATTGCATTCATTTTGCATATGACACTTTTTTGACATTTAAAATAAATAGTTTTTCTGGGATTCTTATTACTATTGTCATTATGGGTTCTATGGGTGGGAGCATTAGAAGATGTTGGAGGACTAGTAGTAGACTGCTGAGTGGTTAAGAAAGTGAGAGGCTCCCTAGGTTTGGAAGTGGGAAATTTTTTCTTTTGTATTTGAATAAAGAAAACTAATCATCATGTGGGAAAAAGTAGCTAATGATATTCATAATATTGCAAAGGATGGTTTGGAGTATCAAAAGAAAAAAAAAAGCTCATAATATTAAAAATAGTTGGTGGTGGAATCAAAATGTGCAAGAAAAGATAAAAATAAGAAGCTTCATTTAGATGTTAAAACTTGAAAAATTGAGAAATATATAAAAAGGTCTTATGGAGTCTAAGAAAATAATATGATGCAAAGAATTTTGCTTTTAATGATTTATATAATAGATTAAATATTAAGAAGGATGAAAGATGTATGTATAAGTTAGCCAAGCAAAGAGATAGGAGAAGGATTTAGTTAAAGTGAAGTGAATAAGTATGAAGATCAAAAAGTGCTTTTATTAGAAGAGAATATTCAACAAGGTGGATGAGATATTTTGATAAGCTTTTCAATGAAGATTATGTGAGAATACGACTGACTTTAGTGACCTTAGCACCCTAAATGAAAATAGAGATTTTTTTTATCGATTTTAGTAAAATTGAAGTTAGAGAGGCTTTAAAGAAAATGAGGTGTGGAAATGCTATTGAACCTGATGATATTCCAATAGAGATGTTGAAATGCTTAGGAGATGAAGGGGTTTCTTGGCTTATGAAACTTTTCAATATTTTATTGAAGACTAAAAAGATGCTAGATGAGTGAAGGAGTGTGTTGATTCATATTTTTAAGTATAAATGTGATGCATAAGAGTGTGCGAATTATAGAGGATTTAAGTTAATGTGTCATATTTTAAAACTTTGGGAGAGAGTTACTGAGCATATGCTACGACTTGATACTAATGTTTCTCAAAATCAATTTGGATTCATGCCGAGTAAGTCTACTATG